ACATTTTACAATGGGCTGATTCCTTCTTCAAGGAATATGCTTGATGCATCTAGTGGAGGAACACTTTTGCCTAAGTCATAAGAAGAAGGATATAGGATGATAGAAAGCATCACGACCAACACTTACCAATGGCCAGTAGCAAGAACAAATGCAAGTGCTACTCAAAAGAAGCCCACTACTGGAGTCCATGAAGTCACCGAGACTACAACCCTTGCTGCTCAAGTGGCTCAGATTCATCAAATGATGAAAAACATGATGACTCTAAAAGTGGTTAAGCTAGAGCCTGTGAAGGTAGTTACTGACGCATCTGAGGTTGCCTGTGTGTATTGTGGAGGTGTGCATTTGTTTAAAGAGTGCCTAGAAAATCATATTTCAGTTAACTATGTTGGGAATAATTACAACAAAAACAACAATCCCTACATCAACACTTACAACCTAAGATGGCACAATCATCCTAACTTTTCATGGAGTAACAATCAAGGTCAACCGAAACACCAAGCTTCCCAAGCACCGCAAGTTCCCCTTGGTTTTGCTACACCAAACTATCCAGTGGAAAATCAAAGCAACAACTAGTTGGAGAATATTCTAAAATAATTTATTCATGAGACAAAAAATCGATTCATAGCTTAAGGGGTGAGTATCAAAAACCTAGAGAATCAAGTGGGGTAAATCTCCACTACTTTTAGCTCAAGTCCCATGTGAACACTCCCTAGCTCTACTGAAACTCCAGCAACAACATCTGGAGTAAAAAATGTTGAAACCTGCAAGGTCATAAAATTGAGAAGTGGTAAAGAATGTGAAGTATCCTCATCAAAAGCCGCTGAGATCAGTGGAGATCTGCTTGAGCAAGACCACTCAGAAGATAAAGAAGGACCAACAAGGAACCAACCTTAGTTGGGAATGATGAAGAAATTGTTGATAACACTATAGTTGGCAAGACTTCTCAAGCAGGAAACTAGCCTAGAGTCATGCTAGAGATGGACAGAGAAAAGAAGATTGTTCAAGAAAGATCACCACCTTCTTTTCCCCAAAGGATTAGGCAGGAAAAAGAAGAGCAAAAGTTTGGTAAGTTTATGGAGATACTCAAGCAGCTTCTTATCAACATACCTCTGATAGAAGCCATTGAACAAATTCCGAACTATTCAAAATTCATGAAGGATATGATTACAAAAATAAGAAGAGTGGGAGAATTTTCTATGGTAGCACTCACTTAAGAGTGTAGCCAATTGGTTCAAGGCAAGCTCCCACCAAAGTTGAAGGATCCAGGATGTTTCACCATTCCATGTAACATTGGAGACTCTTTATGTGGAAAAGCATTATGTGACTTAGCGGCCAGCATCAACTTTATGCCCTTATCTATCTTTAAGAAGTTAGGTTTAGGCGCAGCCAAGCCTATGACCATCACTTTAAAATTGGCAGATAGAAGTATTTGTTACCCTCAAGGGAAGATAGAAGATGTCTTGATAAGAGTTGATAAATTGGTATTCTCTGCTGACTTCATTATTATAGATTTTGAGGTTGACGAGAACATTCCTATTTTGTTGGGAAGACATTTCCTTGCTATGGGAAGACCTTTCCTTGCTACGGGAAGAACTTTGATTGATGTGGAAAAATGAGAACTTACCATGAGAGTGAATGGACAACAAGTGGTTTTTAATGTTCTTAATGCACTACAATATCCTGAAGAAGAAGTTGTTGATTGTTCTCTAATTGCCAACTGGGAAGGAATTGTCCACAAGAGTTTATTTAATTCAAGTGAAGTCTTGACTCAAGCTCTAGGAAATCTAGAGAAAGAAGATGATTCTCAAGAAGGTATCATATATGGACCAATGTGTAAATCTACCGTGAAAGATGAAAGCATGGAAGTACTGGAAATATCATCTAATGAGAAGAAGTAATGTTCTTCTTCAATAGAAGTTCCACCTGATTTGGAATTGAAGCAACTACCCGCCCATTTGTAATATGCTTTTCTAGAGGCAGGACAAAAGATGCCTGTCATTGTTGCTAAAGATTTGAGTGAATAGTAGAAGGGCCAATTGTTGGATATTCTGAAGAGACACAAAAAGGCTATTACATGTTGTAGCGGTAAAGTCAATGAAGTCTCCACCGAGTATTTATTTATCCCATATAAAGGGAAAGGAAAATCATCAAAGAAAAACCTGAAGGGATAAATCAAGGTCTTGCGACCGAGAGATCGGGTACACGAGTCAATTACGTGAGGGGAAGGTATTAGCACCCCTTACGTCTGTAGTACTCTACGGGATCCACTCTTGTTGTTCTAATCAAAAGGTGTGTTCGATATAATGCTTAAGATCTATAAAAAACTAAGAGTAAATGCATGAAAAGAAAACATGGGGAAAAGAAGGAAATATTTACAAATTTTCGCTCGGCTGAGCCCCGTGACCAGATGCCTACGTATCCCTTTTAAGGAATCATAGCGTTGTAGTTCGACTCACAAATTTATGTTTGTTTGTATTTTTTAAATGAAAAATGTTAAATTCAATCATTCCACCGCCGCTCGACCATTGGAGACTCACACACTGTAGTGGAAAGGAATCAACACGTTCTTAGAAGAGAAAAGTCGAATGGAGAAAAGAAATGAATTGGTTGGTGTTTTTTACCATGAAAAGGATTTTTGTATGTTTAGCATGATTTATACATTTGCCAAGAAAAAGAAGTTTTAGTGTTGAATGTAATTATGCAAAATGGGAAGAAAACATCTAAGGGAGACTAACCTATCTCTAACCTAGTGTTATCATACAATATAGCCCTATGTCGAGGATGGAAAGGGAAATCTATACCCTATGTTAGCATGTATGGTTCACAACCTAAGGTCTAACTTGCATCAAAAAGGAACAAGCATATCCTAAGGGAACATGGTATAGAAAGCGAGTGAGCAGATAAACTCGAAAGAGCACAAACATGAAATGGTAAAGAAAAGAAGAGAAATGCTTTAGTCAAGTGGAGCGGATCACCCGAGACAAATAAACGGGAGTGAAATATAAAAGAAGAGAAATGCTTTAGCTAAGGGGAGAGGATCACCCGAACAAACAAGCGGGAATAGAATGTAAAACAAAAATGTGATGTCCAAAGCGACTGAACACCTAACCAAGATATAAAAGATCGAGGTAGGAGACAAAAGGAAATATGAACAACCACAGAATGTCTGCATCGGCAAATGAGAACTCCTAAAAAAGTGTGGGGGATTGGTTGCAAAACCCTTTTCCACTTGACGACTCGATAACAAGAGTAGGAATAACTCTGAAGCATCGTGGTGTGTCACGAGCTAAGGATGACACAAATAAAATGCGGAGGTTGATTGTGAACCCTTTTCACTCGCCTATTTTTGAGGACTTCAATAAGGGATGGGGGAATAGATGCGAGCACAAATGTAAACACACATGCGGAATACCTACTTCAAAGGTAGGATTTTAAACAAACACAGATAACATACAGAAAGTGGTGCCTGGTACAGGACTTTAAACAGCGACTTCGAGCGCACGCTCTTTATTTCCTACTTCTCAGGATATCTAGAAAGAAATAAAATGCAGAAGGATAAATTGGAAGCAGTATAATACCAAACGAACAATAATATCCGCAAAAAGCGCAACCAAATCCAAGAGATTCCGAATACTTCACGCAAGCTAGCATCAACAAACAAATAGTCAGAGATCGAATGCTCAGAGTAAGTGTCAAGACATCATCGATGTGAAAATAAATCACAATCGAAAACTCAAGAGTATCCACATATCTCACAATAAACCTGCATAAGACTCAAATCTCGACAAGCAAAAGTGAAGCACGAAGTCTTGGCAACAAAATGATTATTTAAACATAAACCATAATATAAAATTCTAAAAGAAGAAAATCTATAGAAAATTCTATTATATTCTAATACTTTTAATTGTTTTTGGTGATACACACTACTACTATTTTTTTATTAACAAAATTGAAAAAAAAAGAAAATTAAAAAAGAAAAGAAAATAGAGAGAGTCAGGGGGTAAAATCGAAATCAGGTGGGCCTGTTGGAAAGACATGCGCTAGGGTCCATTTCATGAGTCCAGGAGAAGTTTTTTAATCCAGCATCAGGTTACCAAAAAAATTCTACAGTTAAGGGGGGTTTCGGTCCAGCCAAGGAAGTCTTCTGTTTTTATGGTAATTTGTTCAAAAAATCCAGGTACAGTTTGGCCCAATTCGCTTTCCCATTGATCCATACACACATCATTATGGAAAAAAAATCAGAAAAACAAAGAAAATTGGAGACTAAATGATGCGTTTGGTGAGTTTTATGTTAACTACTGCCTCTTCATCTTCTCAAGAACAAACAATTCCCTCTCCATCTCACCTCTCTCAACTATGCACGGCGGTTCAAGCATCATCGCACGTCCTCCACTCACTGACTCGCCATTATCGCTCTAGCGCCAGCATCTTCGTCTCCGCTTCAACAATCACGCTCGAGTTCTGTCCGAGTATAACCTCGCGGATCTCCATCTCAATCCTCATCACATGGCGGCTGTGATTCAAAACTCAGGAAACTCAACAGAAATCGGAAGCAGGGGAGAGTAACAATAACTTACATTCGAAATGCGTTTATGATGTGAAACGATTAAGCAATTATGCAGTCGTGCTTACAGCAGCTCATGGTGTGAAACGAATCAAGCACGAACGTAAGGAAAAGAGGAGATTCTAGGCTTACCGATCGGAGATCATCCGATGCGACTTTGACGATAGTGAAAAGGACAAAAAATCAAAGATACCGAAGTGTAGTTCAAGTATAAAATCATTGATTCTTTCGTTTCCTTGCGATATCTTGTTTTGCTTCTTTCTGCTTTTCGAATGCTCGTGTTTCTTGATGTTAATGTTGCTGTGAAGTTACAGCGATGAAGGAACTGTTGTAGTGTGCAAATATGTAGGTGAATAATGAAGCGTGAAGATTGAAGCAGTTGGTGAAGATTAATGGTGCGTTGGAGGTTCTTTAAAGATGAATATTGAAACGTTGAATGAAGATTCCAGAGGAAACACATAGAAATGTGGAAAGGAGTTTGAAGGTGCAAGATTGATGACGATTCTTCTGTAGTTGATGAAAAACCTGCAATGATGAAGATGCTTTGTTGAAGAATAGAGAGTAATTGCAGAGAGAGAGAGTTCTCGGGTGAGTGTTGAAATTTTCTGTTATTCCTTTTGTGAATGAATCGTGAAAAAAATGAATTCCCCTCCTCAATTCTATTAGAGCTCTTGCTATATATGCAGTCAAGACTAGGAAATTTAGTTACAAATCTGTGAATCTAAGCCTTTGGATTGAAAGTTTGGTTTGAGAATCAGTGGTTAGGATTTTTTCTCAAATTCAGTTAGGAAGTTTGTTTTAAACCTGTTATGTTGTTGGCAGTTAGTTATAACTCTCTCAAATTCTGTTATTCTCCCTTGATTTTTTTGGGAGTTTCCCTCTGTCTGGTATTTTCTTTTCAGGATATTTATTCTCCTAATTTTTGTTATGAAGGAAAAAATTATGCTTTAGAAATACCATCATAGCATCTGACTCGAAGCTTCAACTCCTGAATACAATTTATCGACCTCTTGCTAGCATCTGCTGCATTCTTCTTGACATAATAAGAATTGAGGAGCTCCTTAATCTTGATAAGATGAGTTATTCCAACTGGCTGCAGCTTGAAATTATCACTGTGCAATTCAATCTTCAGCTCCCCAGCGTCAAAATTTTAATCATGCCCCTTTGGATTGTTAATTCCTGGATTGGTTTGGTATTGGTTAATGATGCAATATTTCTGTGTTATGCAGGTTTTTACTGAATTTTCTTTTCCTTCCCCAGTTAACAGCGATATGCTTGGTTTTATACATAGCAAACCGATTATGCTTGCTCTTTTAGTGGTCTTATTTATGCAGGGCGGTTCATGTGGGAATTTTCTATTTTGAATCAAGAGGTTTGGACAACAAATATATATGCTTTATTAATGTACTGAATATTGATTCTTTTACTTGACTGATGCATTCTGGACTGTTTTGAGATGAATAATTCACATTGGTATCTGAATTGTACAGGTTTTGAACATATTGCAGTGTTTTGAAATAGGGTAGGGCTAATAATTATGCATCAAAATTGGTTTGCAATGTAGTGCAGGGGCTGTTAGGATGTGATGCCACTGGCTTTCTTGTTGATTGTAGGGCTGCAATAATCAGCTTTTGATGGAGTAATGGTTTTGAAGCAAGGTTGAGATTATGGCTTGAAGTGTTCAAGTTCAAATTGGTTGAAAGGATAAAGCAAAGTGAAGATGAAATAGCATGAGATTGATGAAGCATAAAATAGGTTTATGTTTTATGAATTCGGTTTTTTTTGTGTAACTTTGTAGTGAATTTTGAATTTGTCTTTCAATCAATGAAGTAATTCCAAGAAAAAGAAACTTGACGCTTTCTTTTAATTCGAATCTCAAATTTTACTTCAATTCTTCAATTTAGACATCCAATCTTCCTTCATCTTTCAATCTTGGATCAAATATTGATTTTGTAATGCCTAGTCTTTTTCTTCTAATCTCATCTTGAATAAATCTTGTCCTTTACAAAGAAACTTCACCCATCTCAAGTGATCTTCTCCAATTACTTTTCCTTTTAGATTTGGCATGATGACATGATGAGTTAAGAGAACTGGAGTGAGTTTTGAAACATGGCATGCTCATAAATTTTCCTAAATCAAGATGTAAGTTCCAAATTCCAAGCAAACCAAAATCACAAATTTCCTAGTTTTGCAACCTTAATCTTGAAATGATACTTATATGAAACATGATAAAGGCCTTTGTAATTCGAATTTTCGATTGTCCACCTGATTAGATTTGGAACTCAAATTATACTTTGAATTTGTCACTTGTAAATTGTATTCCAACCAAACCATATGCATAGATTCCATTGAATCAATCTTGAAAGAAACATTTCACAATAATGAATCCATTATCTACTTCACTCTTCAAATTCAAGTCAACTTGCAAACAATCAAGAAGTTGAAGAGATAACAAGGCTTTGATTACAAAGAATCTCCAAACTCCTACCATGCTGTAATACTCGCTCTTTAGTACACAAAATATTTTGCTGAAAACTCAGCCACACTTAATCATTTGGCAATTCTCACAACAAGAAGAGAATCGTGATTCAATCTTCTAGACTTCTTGAAAAGAAATGAATCATAAAGTACGTAATAAATTGAAGCTCTACATGATGATTGTTTTAACCTAAAATTTACCCTCCCATTTTTCTTCAAGACATTCTCATGAGGTCCTCATTTGCTAAAGTTTCTCAAGAATTGATCAGACAAATTCTCCTCCTAAGCAATAGGTCCACAACTAGGGTTTTGTGTTTCACAAGGAAGATTGGGTTTTCAAGGTGTAACGCCCATAATTTAATTAAATTATTTTTGGATTATTTGTGAAGTTGTGTTATGATGATGGGTGTTGTGTTGTGGTTATTCGAATTAATTTATTCGATTAAGTTGCAGAATAATATTAGAATAATACTATTATTTGATGTGGGTTTATTTTTAATGATTAGAAGTAGTAGAAATGGGGTGTAGGAGTTTAAGCCCATTAAGACATAAAGAGAATTATAGTTTTATTATATTAGTTATTGAGAAATATTAAGAAAAGGGAAGTAACAGTAAGAAGAAAAGAAAATAAGGGTTGGAAGAGAGATAGAGAACGTGGAAGTTACCAAGAAGGAGGAAAAGAGGCAAAGCAGAATTTTATCCGAAAATTATAGAGCAACCTTCAATCCAAGGTAAGGGTGGGGGTTTGACTCTATAATAGGGTTTGTGATGAGTAGTATACGAGATTTGATTTGAATTTTTGTTTTGTTTATGATTGAGATATATATATATATATATATATATATATATATATATATATATATATAGTTGTTTGATGAGGAATCAATGATTTAGAGATGAATAATAATGGCCAAATGATGTATAATTGATGTAGAAACATAGGATTATCATAAGTGATGATTACCTATGATTAGATGATGTTTTTAGGACCTAGGGCAGGGAAATCGCAATGAAAATGCAGTGAAATCACAGAATAAATTCAGCACAAATCAGTATGAGTCGACCTCAAAGGCCATGCGTCGACACATGCAGGATTTAAGACTCAGGATGAGTCGATAGGAAAGGACCATGCGTCGATACATGCAGTGTTTTAGACTCAGTATGAGTCGACACAAGAGGTTACGCATCGACTTATGTAGGATTCCAGACCCAGTACGCGTCGACTCAAAGAGACACGCGTCGACTCATGCAGTCCAATTTTTGACAGATTTTTCCAAAGGCTCTAACTTGAGTTTCAAGACTCCGTTTGAGGTGTTGTTTGAAGCGTTGGATAACTAACGCGATGAAATTCATTCATAAGGATTAAAATGAAGGATAAGAAGAATAATACTAGTACCCAAATTAGGATAGAGTTAGCTTCCCGCGTTAATCACTATGATGATTTCGTGAAGTATGATGAGGATAAAACGATCTTAGATTATTGCTTGAGTTCATAACAGTAAGATTAATAATAATAATGATGTAGTATTACCATATAATAATATGTAGAGGTTTAGTAATTATAAATAAGCATTAGATGAGTGACTAATTAGCATAGTTGAGAATTGTCCAAATATTTATGGGCGATATCATGTTGCAGGCCTATGGCCAATGTTGAATGGTTGTTGACCTATTGTTATGTTATGGTTATGGTTGAGTTAATTTGGATTTACATGGATGAATTATACTGATGATTTATGTTGATGAATTGTGTTGATGAATTATGATGAGACGCCTCTAATTATTGGCAACTATTGAGTTGTAGGCTTCTGACCAACGATGATTCGTGTTGAGGTGTTGTTAGTTGTTGTTGTTATTATATTCATGATTGTGTCACATGCATTGCATATCAAGATGGAACTGATGCTCGTTAAGATGGCCTGTATTGGCGAACATTAAGATGAAGGCTTATGCCTTGTTGATGCCTCTATTTATTGGCAATTATTTTAAGATGGGATTTCTTTTCCAATGGTACCACATGCATTTGCATAGTATTGAGTCTCATTACATGATTTCATAAGGAAGTTGTGTATTGGTGCGGTAAATATTGTATGTTGTTGATGTTCCCTTGCGATTATTGTTGTTTATAAGATGTGAAGTGGTGATATTATATGATCTGATCTAATATATTATTTATCATACGTTTTATTATATTGTTAGATATCTCACCCCTTCTGTTAAAATGTTACCCTTACGTTGGTAACGTGCAGGTAATCCAGTGTGAAGGTGGTTTGCTTTCAGTAGTTCGATTCGGTGTCATTGCTCTGATACGTAACACTCGGGGGATGAACGCTTGTTGATTTTAGTTATTGTTATTCTAGTTGTTGAACTTTAATTTGATTGTTGCTAAGTATGTGTTATTTTGAAGTTGATGTAATGTTGTACAAAGATGTTATTATGATTCCGCTGCGTAGTTGTTCAAGTTGTTGAATTAAGAGATTAATTTATTTTGTTGTTGGTTCATCCGAAATTTTAAAAGTGTTATGTATCCATGTTGAATGCAATGGTTTTTTTTAAGTTGAATTTTTGGCATCCTGATTCAGTTGTATGGATTTTATAACTATGATTTACATTTATAATTGCCGGGTAGAATTGGGGTGTTACAAAGTTGGTATCAGAGCAATTCGGTCGGTCCGACCAAGTTGTCGAGTCGTAGTTTTATTTAACAATCGAGTATTGTTAATTTGAGTTCTAACTGTTGTTTATGTTGTAGAGATAAGTTGAGATGGGTGGAAGGAATGATGTTGCATTTGTTGCTACTTTAGAAGCAATGGCGCATGCGATGGAGAATCAGCCGAATGCTGACGGAAATGCTGGATCTCGTAGTTTGGCGACTTTCCAGAGGGAGAATTTGCCTACGTTAAAGAGAAAGTATGATCCTGACGGAACATTGGATTGGTTGAAAAAGATTGAGAGAATCTTCCGTGTGATGGACTGCACTCTAACACAAAAGGTTCGATATGGTACTCATATACTAGCAGTCGAAGTTAATGACTGGTGGCTAGAGACGTGTCGGAGGTTAGAAGCTGCAGGTGAAAATGTCACTTGGGATGTGTTCCGTAGGGAATTTCTGAGGAAGTATTTCCCCGAAGACGTTCGTGGTAAGAAGGAAATTGAATTCCTTGAGCTGAAGCAAGGGAATATGTCGGTTGTTGAGTATGCTGCAAAGTTTCCTGAGTTGGCTAAGTTTTATCCGCACTACGGTGAGGCAAATGATGAGTTTTCGAAGTGCATCAAGTTTGAGAACGGGTTCCGCCTAGAGATCAAGAAGGCAGTTGGATACCAGAAGATCTGTGTCTTTGTCGATCTGATTGATAGTTGCAGAATTTATGAAGAGGATAATAATGCTCATTACAAGATTATCAGTGAGAAGAGGGGTAAGCACCAACAGAATCACGGTAAGCCTTATGATACCCCAACTAGTAAAGGTAAACATAAAGCTGATCAAGGTCAAAAGACTAGTGGGGGAGATTCTCCTGCTGGTGTGGTTTGTTTCAAATATGGAAAACCTGGGCATAAGAGTAATGTGTGTACTGCTGAGGTAAAGAGGTGTTTCCGTGTGGTAAGACTGGACATGTTCTATCTGAGTGCAAGCATAAGGAGGTGATTTGTTTCAATTATGGTGAAGAAGGGCACATTGGTATCCAGTGTCAGAAACCAAAGAGGGTGCAAACAAGTGGTAAAGTGTTCGCTTTGGTTGAGGATCAGAAGGATGTTGAGGACAGACTTATCAGAGGTACATGTTTCATTAATAATACTCCTTTAATTACTATTATTGATACTGGTGCTAATCATTGCTTTACTTCTACTGATTATGTTGAAAGATTGGGTCTTATGTAATCTTCTATGAATAGAGAGATGATCGCCGACACTCCAGCCAAGGGGTCGGTGATTACTTCTTTTATGTGTTTAAATTGTCCCTTATCGATCTTTGATAGAGACTTTGTTGTTGATATGGTTTGTTTGCCTTTAAGAGGGTTGGATGTGATTCTGGGTATGAACTGGTTAGAGCATAACCATGTTCATATTAACTATTATAACAAGTCTGTGAGGTTTTCTACTCTTGAGGAAGAGGAAGATAGTATGTTGTCTGCTAGACAGTTGAGGATGTTGATGCA